CCCTGCCATGGATCCACTGAAGAAACAGCCAGCACAGGCCTGTGGCAAAACCACCTTTCTCTTAGCATGGATTGCATCCAGTGTTAGTGTCTGACTAAAACCCATTCATTTCAACAGGACTCCTTGAAGCACAACTAATACTGGACACAACCCCACGTTTCTGCAATGTTCCTGTGGCAATGCTTCAAAAAATGATACACTTTAATCATTGAGAATAAGTAGGAGCTTATTTTACTTCAATAATGTTGTTTTTACCTATTTTATATTAATAAATGTATTACCTATTCTTTATTTTTGCACACATTTATATGCCACCTATCTGCCAAAAGGCCTTTCTAGGCAGCTTACAACAACATATTAAAATAACATATTAAACATATATATAAATAACAACATATTAAGACTTATTAAAACAATTGCAAGATTAATGTGACAATAAGCGTGAGCGACCTTTTGGTATACAGGTGAGTTTACCAATGAAAACAAATACATACAGCATTGGCTCAGAACAACTGTACTAATTCAGACCAAGAGCTGATTCAAGTCAATATAGTATTCCAGCACTGGCCAAATCTTCCATGTTTCAAGCAGTTATATAACAATGCAGAACGCAAATGGGGGAGTTTCCATCCAGCATCTGACAATTCAGAGCAGCAAAGAATGTGCTGAATGTTGTGCCAAATGTCCTGTATATTCTATGCAATAGCTGTAAAGAGCTAAACCTTTACCCAGAAACTAAATATTAAAAACATCTACTATAATTTTCCAGGGATCTAGTTCTTGAATACAGAGGCTTCCTGCTAACTGCAGTGAAATCAATGGGGAATGGGAAACAGGCATTTCCTATAAAGCATCTCGAGGCTGTTCCCCAGCAATAGCTAGGCTCAGCCCAACCTTGAAAAGCTTTACTTCCTTAAAAACATGCAACATAAACAAGTCTTATTTGTGCAAATAGCCAAACAGCCAATCATGTGTGTGTTGCGCACTGTGAACTACCCAGCCTCAAAAAGGTCAGTGGGGGGCAGCGAGCACTCCAATTCAAAAGCATTTGCCCACCCCTGTAATAACCCATTAAGCAGCATCAGCCATTTCTGGAGAGTAAAGAGCAGAAAGTCCACTTCTCACCTAAACTGCTGTTGCCCCAGCTGAAGCTTCAAGTGTGAAAGGGATTTACATCATGTAATTACTGGATTTTAAAAAACCATTTTTACAGTAATTTTCAACCACATGGTGAATGTCTATTTCTACCCACCACTGGGTAGTGCTCCTATACGAAGGCAGGCATAGTAAATCTCTAACCCTGACAAGGTTTGGCTTGCGGGGGGCTCATGACACAATAGTAGCACAGAAAGCAGGTTGTTGCAGTATTAATAAAGAGCGGACCTAGTACCTACCTAGCCTTCTAATCAGGCTTCCCTCACTTTCACGAGCAAGTTCTGCCCACTGCATCACTCACCACTTAGGAGCAAAGCTACAGCCAAAAGAGGTTTGAACTGACCAAAGAAATATTTTAAAAACAGATCTCACATCCTACTCCCCCAACCTAAACTGCATTCTTGTTAATGGCATCACAGAATTTCTATGAGTTTGTAATGAATTTATTCAGAGAAACAGTGCAATAACCGAGCATAGGTCCTGTCATATATTATAGAGTTTTGTAACTTTGTGTGAGGATGGAGCCTGAACAAGCCTCACACATTTCTTCCCTATAATCTTTTGTGGGTTTTGATCTGTTCAAGTTTTTTGAAAATATGGTTAATAGTTCACAGATGAAATTACATTTACCGCTAATTTACTCTTTCAAGCAATAACTGTACACTGCAATTCTGTGCACATTTGCCTGGGAACAAGCCCCACTGAACACAATGAGACTTACTCCAGAGCAAACATGCCAGGATTGAACTGTAAAACAACCTGCCTGAATGCACACAGACTCCTTACAATTCCATTTCCATCAGCACTGAACTCCCTCTTAGAGAAACAGCTGCAATTTCACCCCAATTAGCAAGCAGCATTTTCAATCTACAATTAATGAATTCATTATCCATATGAAAGCTTTTGAACACCACATTGCTAAGTGAATGATAAATAGCAGCAGCGATAATAACCCTGATCATTTCACACACGGGATAGCTGCCTCCAGTCAAACTAGTTTGAACTGGGAATCTGGATCAGAAAAGGCAGCTGCAATGGTCATTAAGTCACCCTTCTACATGTTCTATATCACTCACATCACAGAGCGTGTGCGTATGCATGCGCGCACACATGCAACTGTACTGTTTTTTATGTGGAGGTTATTGTGGGACATAAGCACCTCCACTTATTACTTCTACCTAGTTATCTATTCTCAGAGTTGTGCTTAGTCTGCACTTCTGCACAATGCCAAACAATGGAAGAACCCCACTGGGTCAGACCAAGAGTCAAGCATCCTCTTGCCCACAAGGGCTAACCAGATGATTGTGGGAAGCTCTCATACTGAACAGGAAGGCAATAGGCATCTCCTATTTTACCTATCTATTCTTCCATCTAGTTCTATAAACAAACATAGCAAGAAGAGTTAGAACATACAAAAACTGTGACTCTTTAGTGAAGGATGGTATGTAAAAGCTTTAAACAAATGAACAAACACAGTACAAAGTGTTGTTTGCCTCATAACATGCCCCATAGTATGTTCTGAAGGAGCATAACTCATCCACCATGTTGAAGCTATTGAAGAACTGGCATCATCACCATGACCCCTGCTCATCAGGTCTTTCTCCATGATGAGTGCATATGGCTTGCTTGTTGCCCCATATCCTTCTGTCAATTCCAAACTCCACTGTTCCTGTACTATTATTGGGATCAGACTAGACCTGTCATCTCCAGTCTGGTGTTCTCCAAGTATATTAGATTGTATCTCCCATCATTCCCAACCATCATGGCTAGGAATGGTGGGAATTGCAGTTCATCACACCTGGAGGGCACCAGCTTGGGGAAGGGTGGGCTAGATGACTTCTTCAGCACTTGAGATGGCTGATTTGGAAAGCTGAGTTACCTTGCTTGTTCTGGCACAGGTCCTCAGCAGAGGACAGTCCAGAGGGAGAGGTCAGTTCCTATTAAGGTTCAGACTACACACACTAGCTTGTTGAGGGAACCCATTACTCAAAAGAGAAACCACTGAAGTTCATCTTCCACTCCTAGTCCTATTCCCGTTTCCTGACACTAGCTCCCTCCTGTCCCCCAGAAGCCTTTTAAGGGCCCTCCCTCCTCATCCTCAAAAAGCCAATTGGGCCAAAGACATGGTTCTTTTTCAGGTGGGCTTAACTGTCAACCTGGATGTGCCTCTCTGCCCTACAAGGAGAGGAATCAAACTACAGGGACCCATAACTACAGGGTATATACCTAACTTCTCCTCCTTCAATGTAACCTACATGGGTAGCAGAGCAGCCTGGAAACTCAGAGCATCATTTCTCCAGGATCACCAGAACTATGAACATTGGTGTAATTTTATACAGATCATAGAATTCAGCTTTTTAAATGCAGGGTGCCCAAGTATAGATTTTTTTAAAAAAAATATGCACAGCCATGCTGTCTCCCTTTCAACAGTTATGCTGGCTCATACATACATATATTCTAACTGAAAGATATTATTTTGCATTAGTAATGTTGCAAATACTTGTTGGAAATACAAATACTATATTTTGGAAGAGTTTGTATTTGGTGCCGGGATTGTCAGTTTTGGGGTATCTATCTGGTATCTCAAATTAAAACAGTACTTGCCCACAGGTAACAAAGACCTGTCCCCTCTTTTTCCCACCTAATACTCATCCAGTATTTACAGTAGTCTAGCAAAGAAAACTGCATCCTGATGATAAGGAATAAAAGTAATTTTGTGGCTGCCAACTGCCAGTAGATATGAAATGAATCTCAAAATAGCAATTGCAATTTTTCATGCTCTGAAAAGAAAGACAATGAATATAAACCAGCTTCTGAAACACCAGTTCTAACATGACAGAATTTCAGTGCAAATAGCAGTTACTGTTCACCCACCTTTTGCTTCTGCCTTTTGCTCTCAGCACATTTCCATAGCTACATTTGGGTAGCTCCTCCAGAAAATGTAATGCAAGCTTTCAGGAATATTACAGTGCTGCTGCCTCAGCGCATTTTGTTGCAGCTCTCAAGAGCAGCGCCACTGGTTTTTGTTTTTTACTTCCACACTGTTTAGTTAATCATAATTAAATATTCCATTCCACTTTAATACTGATATTGTTTGGAGTCTCCCCCCCCCCGCTCCCCCGGACCGATGACGAGGAAGCTAAGGGAATGTGGAATATATATTACACACACACAAACACATTCCCGCCTGCCGAGTATTAGATTGCATCGGTACTGTACTGTACTGTAAGATGAGCCTCAAAAACAAAACAGGGGCCAGCAGCTTCTGCCTGGCAGGATAATAACGAAAGACCTAATTCCCGGGCTTCCCATACACCCTCTGCTGGGATCTGGGAGTGCTTCTTGAAGCAGTGCCAGAGTCCGATCCCATCGCAACGGCTGGCTAATTTCAACGCTCACTTCTGCAAAACTGCAACGGGGTTTGTGCTTATGCGTCCCCCTCACCCCAAATAAATGCATTAAGAGTAACACTGCATTCGAGGCGGAGTATGGAGGGGACTAGGTCACCTGCCCTAACTGGTTTCTCCTACTTGCCCGCCGAAACCAGATTCCCCGTGTGCCCCACCCGACTCCGCCAGGCCCGCCACACACAATCCCCTTCGCAATTTGCGCTCCAGAAGGGCGGGGTTGGCTAGCCCGGATTGGGGCCTGGGGGGGTGGGGGGAGATTCGGCATCATTTCGGCCAGCGCTGATGGATCCCGGGAGGTCCTCACCCCACCCAACCCCCGGGCCACCGAAGAGCGAAACGCAACCTAAGCATCCCCGCCGCAGCGCCGTTTGCCCCCGCGGAGGCAGCACCCCGAAAGGGGTGTGTGCGGAGAAGTGCCCACGGCGGGCGCCTTACCTCGCGCTCCGCCAATGGTCTGTCCCCGCCGAAGGCGCCCGGGCCCGGGCAGAGAAGGATTCCGCGCGCAGCCGGAAAGCGGGAAGGTGGTCTGGGAAGCAGCAGGCTGATGCCGACGAGCGGGCGGCGTCTTCTTCCCAGCCTCTGGCTTCCTTCGCAAAGAGCCAAGCGCTGGTCGGAGAGCTCCGTCCTTCCCCCTTGACTGGATTCCTACAGCGATTCAACTCTCGCTGCTCCCTCACGCGCGCACGGAGGCACTGCTCGGAGTCACTCCTCCTCTCACAGTTCCTTCCCCTGCCCCCCTCTCCCCCTCCCCTCCCCCTCTTACACCCCCCTTTTCTTTAAACAGCAGATATGAAAAGCCGCCCCCCCCCCTTACACATCCACGCACGCACATTCACTTTCCCCTTCGGTTTGCCAACCGGTTGCCCCTGCCAACTAAAATGACTTCGGGCTGTCCCCAACAGCCGCTTGGGTTTCCCTCTCTTGCGTGCCAAAATGTCCGGGGTGGCTTCCCATTGCATTTGTGTGCACTGCAAGCTCTTGCGTGGAATTGCGGAGGACGGGTGTGTGAGAGAGAGAGAAGAGCGGGGGGAGAGATTGTGGTGGACCAGTGGGCCACAGCCAGCATATTTTGTAGATGAGGCGTTCAGAAGCGGGGAAATAATAACTAGCAGTTTCTCACAGCTGCAAGGTCGTAAAACAGGAGGCTGAAGACTCTCCATTTTTGGGACATGCTATTATTGGGTTGCATCTGATTGTGGCACAGGGCTTGAACTTCGACTTAATTCTTCACAACAGCCTGGTTATGTGCGAGGCGTGATTTTCGTGTGGTCTGGGCATATTAACTGCTGAGATTTAGGAGCCATTCAAAGTTGAGTGGATGGAGCTGTCATCGTATTAAATATCGCCTTCCTCCCCCCCCCCCCGCCCCCGACACACATAGACACCCCAGAGCTAAGTTAAATACTGGGCAAGACAGGTGGCAGGAGAAAGTAGTGAAAGAAGACAAGAGGTCAGCAGCATGCCTGCTAATTGCACAAGAGGTCAGACTGGATAACTCCCAAACTGACAGCTGCTTCCAAATGGTCTGGTCATCCTAAATCATATTCTCAGAAAGTAGGGGTTTTTCTCTCCTCCCTGCCTGAGTCAGGAGACATAAACAGATCATATTTACATACTTGAGCTCAGCTTGCCTTATTCTGTAGGGAAGCTCTGGACTCCTGGCAATTGTACCTTATGCCAATGAAGGCTGTTCACTTGTTTAAAATAAACAATTCCAGATCCAGCTTGATGCCTGTTAGGTTTACTTGTGTCCTTTTGTTGGTACTTAGCACCATAATTACCATAATCGGTTAATTAAGGACAGATCAAGTACTTTGTAGTTGGTAATTAATAGGGGAAACATAGTTATTTGGAGAATAAAATATTGACTTTTTGAAAGCAATCTTATGCAGGTTTATTCCTGAACCAAGCCTTGTAAGTGTAGATAAGATTTCAGTTTATTATAAAATAATTCACAGTTCAATCAAATCCTAAGGAAGTTGTATGCTTTCGAACAGTGTGGTGGAAAAACCATCACAACTGCAACCTTGCTTCTTGTACTCCAATCCTGAACTGTAAAAATATGTAGAAATTTTGCTGTTGGAGCAGGGTCACTTCCTTTTTGGATCTGTTCCACGAACCCCATTTTTAGTCCCCTAAACATGATGTTTCTAACTAAGGGTAAAACCAATAAAATGTTCTGTGTATGAAACTGATGAGCACAGCAAAGTATGTATTTGGAGACTGTGTGTGTGTTTGTGTGTTATGGAAGCGCATTTGAAGAGGAAGGAACTGGAGCTGAAGTTGTTGAATGGGTATAAACACAGGTTTGTCAACAATGTGCTGTGTTTGAACCTGCCTGCTATTGACCACTGTGGTTGATACCATTTGGTTCTCGTCTTGTTAGTCTAGTTCTCATAAACAGCAGCTCCTAAACTGAGCCAATTCAGACTGAATAGTCTCCCACACAAAAGAACTGTCTACATTAAGCAAGTATGCTCTTCCTAAAACCTTGCTAATTGTCATTACTCGCTGATGCCATGCAGTACAACTTCCCAGTGCTTAATTTAGTATGAAATTTATTTACAAGTTGAGCAAGATAGAAACTCACATATTTCACATTTATTCTGGTATATCTTGTTTTGGATTGCTTGCTCCATATATTTGTTTTCATTCATTGTATTTGTGATGGAACTCAGCATGGTGTACATGAGATTTCCCATTTTTGTTCTCATAACAACACTATGGGAAGAAGACCAACAGTGAGGCAGTGACTTTCCAATTTCTTTCCATAGTCAAAATAGGGATTTGAATCCTATTCTTTTTCCAGTATAAACACAAGTCCAGTATTCCATCTACAACACACTGGCTGCTATTTGTATTTTCCTTAAGTTCATTGGCATACAGTCTACAGGACACAGGATCAAAAACAAATATTGTTTGGAAGTTTGCTCTTTCTAAACTTACAGATAGACTTGTTTGCACTAACCATACATTTTGAATTTCTGGAATGAAGTCTCTTCCCAGTTATAAACTTCAAACATGCATCTTACATTATACATCACTGTGGGAATCACTGAGGATTCTTACAGAACAAAGCTGTTGTTGCAAACCAGCTGGGAAAACAGGATTTACAAAAGACTTGGACAAGAGTCCTGAGGCGGAATGTGAACTATAAGATAAAAGGCTTTGAAAACATTACAAACTATATGTAAATGTGGGAAAAGAAGAGGAACATGTAGAAAGTGAGCAAAAAAAAAAATCCAGTTGATTTCAGATATCAACATTATATGTTCAGCCAAAGGTCAGTTATCTTCTTTTTCCATTAGTTTGATAGAACTCATGGAATGAAGTGGAATATATATATGTATTGCTTCTTTAGTCAAATAAATTCTAAAACAAAGTGCCTTATTGTCCAAGAATGTACATGTCCTAGTCCTATGTACCTATCTAAAACATTTAGTTTTTATGTTGAAAAATTTCATTGTCAGCTCTGGGTTTGTTGAAAGAGATTTTAGTCATTTGGTTCCTGTGATAGGAAACTTTCTTTAAAAATATTTTTCCAGTGCTGCTTTTGTCTGCTAGGAAAAGATGAACTATTTCCATAATGGTAATTTAATCCATAGTGATGATTTAATAAAATTTGCTTCTCTGTAATGGGTTTAGGTGCAAGTAACACACACCTGCAGGATGTTTTGTTTTCCCTTTTGGTCTAAACATGCATAGGATTGTGCCCTAATGCTTATAAAAGCGTCAACATCTTTTTTTGTGGGGGGGGGGGTGGAATTGCAACTTGGCAGGGGCAGAATCTGCAGCAAAGAAGTGGCAGGAGTGGAGGGCTTAACCTGTGCCCCACTGACTTATTTCTCTGCTCAAAATCACTTTCCCAGCTGATCCCCCTGCTCGACCATGGGTTTTGAGAGCATGCTTAGGATAATGTTCACACATCTGGAGGCTTGCCAGGGTGGGGCAGAAAAGAACTATGGGAAATCTTTTGATTGAAAAATGGCCACAAAGTATCAGCACCCTGCCTCCCTTCAGTCACCCTCTCACTCTAAATCCCCCCTCTTCAAGGTGTCCGCAAATTTAAAAATGGTGCTGGGCCACTGTTACACATGCCCCAAATTTGCAATCACCCCGTCCCTGGTCCCTCAGTCACTTTTCTCCCAGCAAAGTTCCAGGTGTATGTTCACCAACTTGCTTCTGGAACCCTGAGAGAGGGATGCAACTCAAGAGATGGTTCTGGCGACAGGAAGAACCAGTAAGGAAGGGTTTAAGTCACCTCTCTCTTTCCCACCATTTATCTACCTTAAATTTCTCCTTTTCAAAGGTGCTTTGCTCTTTTTTAAAAAAGAAATGAAAAAACTACTGGCCCATATTACATGCTAGCATATAACATGGGATTCAGCTGAAAAAATGGAAAATAGTGATGTCACCAAAGTTCAGAATTACTTGGTTTAAACCATTTTATTTATTTATTTATTACATTTCTTTACTGCCCATCAGCTGAAAAACTCCTTGGGCAGTTTATTATTTATTTTATTTATTTATTATTTATTAAAACATTTCTATGCCGCCCCTTGCCGAAGCCTCGGGGCGGCCCACAACATCTAATAAAATACACAATAAATTAAAACAATAACAATTAAAATATATACAGTAGAATAAAATAAGCCGCCCTGGCCAAATAAAATTCAATAATATTAACATTTAAAATGCTGCTTAAATAAAAAGGTCTTCGCCTGGCGCCGAAAAACAAATAACGACGGCGCCAGGCAGACCTCTCTGGGGAGCACATTCCATAACTTAGGCGCCACCGCTGAGAAAGCCCTCCTCCGAGTAACCACCCTCCTAATTTCCTTCACTGAGGGCTCCCGGAGGAGGGCCTCTCCCACTGATCTCAGGGGGCGGCTGGGCATATATGGACGGAAGCGCTCCTTCAGGTAACCAGGACCCAAGCCGTTTAGGGCTTTATAGGTCATCACCAACACCTTGAATTGGGCCCGGACTTCAATGGGAAGCCAGTGAAGCTGCCGGAGAACTGGAGTCATGTGAACATAACGTCCAGTTCCCGTCAGCAGCCTGGCAGCTCTATTTTGAACCAATTGAAGTATCCAGACCGTCATCAAGGGTAGCCCCACGTAGAGCGCGTTACAGAAGTCAAGACGGGAAGTCACCAGTGCATGAGTCACTGTTGCGAGGCAGTCGTCCTCCAGATAGGGGCGCAGCTGATGAATCAGCCGAAGCTGGAGGAAAGCGCTCCTCGCCGCTGCTGTTACCTGAGCTTCGAGTGAAAGCTCCGGGTCGAGGAGCACTCCCAAGCTGCGGACCTTATCCCTAGGAGGGAGTGCAACCCCGTTCAGGACAAGGTTCAATTCACCTTCTCCGAAGCCTGAACCGCCTACCAACAGGACCTCCGTCTTGTCTGGATCGAGCTTCAGTTTATTGGCCCTCATCCAGCCCATTACCTCGGCCAGGCACCGGTTCAGTACAGCCACTGCCTCACCTGGATTGGTGGAAAACAAGAGGGAGAGCTGGGTATCGTCAGCGTACTGGTGATTCCGCAGCCCACACCTCCTGATGTTTACAAAATTGGAAGTACAAGAATTAATATAAAG